TACATATAAAGATATTGCTAAACCATTAACTTTCATATTATTGATAGAGTATTTGCTTTTAGAGTAGAGTATTTTACTTCTGTCTATTTTTTTTCCCAACCTTCCCTTCTTCTTTGTAGCCACTGATAAAACTTATTCCATGTTTCATAGTAAGCTGATCCCCCTTACTTTTCAATTCTAAGGTTAACCTATCCAATTCTGCACAAGCCATTATTTTCTTTATTATTTCTCTTTCTGGTGGTATGGTTTCATTTTTCCAATATTGCGCGTATCTCATTCTCACCACTGTCAAAACATGTATAATTAAATATGCTACATCTTTCCTATACCCTTCTATCATTAGTCCCAAGAGAAATAATTCTGGTTTAAACAGAATATGTTCTCCCACTATTTGTTCCATCCAAGTCTGTATCAATCTCCAGTATTTTTTGCAAATTTACACGTCCACCATATGTGGTAGAACATACCTGATAAGTCCTTACACTTCCAGCATTCTAGGGATAAACTTTCCATGGTAATCATTGTTAATTGGTTCCAAGAAGTGCGATGCAAACCCCCCAAAAAAGAGTATCAAACAATCTTTTCCCATAAGGAATGATGGTGGGAGTTACAAGATAGTGACATCAACAAGTTTTAACTTGTTCACCAAGTACCAAACAAAGCACTTGTCTTGCTTAGCAACAGAAATTTTAGACTCAACTGTAGCCATAAGTTGAAGACTATCTGTATTGATTTGAGACTCGGAAGTTGGATTAGGAAACCAAGGCTCAGGAACAATAATTGAGGACAAATTGCAAGATATTTACCTGGTTTCCTCAGGTTTCCACATTATTTCGGGCAGCACCACAACCTCGCTGAAGCCCAAGCGGAATTTGTCCAACAGAAACCGGATCCTGTTAAACAGAAAGAATTAGACAAGATAAATCTTATAATCTCCTGGTTATATTGTTGACAGGCCAGATGCTTTGCTTTGTATGTCTACTCAAATTAGATATTTTAATGTTCCATAGTGTTTTAATGGTTTTTATTATTTTAAAGTGGAGTGAAGTGGAGTGGAATGGAGGAGAAGAGAAGAGAGGAGAAGAGAGGAGAATAACTGAGTTGGAAGGGACCTTGGAGGTCTTCTAGTCCAAACCTCTATCTAGGCAGGAAACACTACATCACTTCAGACAAGTGGTTATCCAATTTCTTCTTTAAAACTTCCAGTTTTGTAGCATTAACTACTTCTGGAGGCAAGTTCTTCCACTGATTAATTGTTCTAACTCTCAGGAAATTTCTCCTTAGTTCTAGGTTGCTTCTGGTCCTGCCCTCAGGTGCTTTGGAGAAGAGTTTGACTTCCTCTTCTTTGTGGCAACCCCTGAGATACTGGAACACTGCTATCATGTCAGCCCTTAGTCCTTCTTTTCATTAAACTAGATGTACCAATTCCAGCAACCACTCTTTATATGTTTTAGCCTCCAGTCCCTTAATCATATTTGCTGCTCTTCTCTGCACTCTTTCTAGAGTCACAACATTTTATAACATATAGCAATAGTACTTAAACTTACATACCGCTTCACTGTGCTTCACAGCCCTCTGTAAGCTGTTTACAGAGTCAGCATATCACCCCCAACAATCTGGGCCCTCATTTTACTGACCTCAGAAGGATGGAAGGCTGAGTCTACATTGAGCCAGACAGAATTGAACAGCTGAACTGCTAGCAGTCAGCAGAATTAGCCTGCAGTATTGCATTCTAATACTACACCACCATGGCTTAAGTGGCTTTAATGTTTTAATTATAATATATGTTTTTGAATGGTGAGCTGCCCAATAGCAGGCAGCTGTAGAAATCAAATCAAATTGATTGATCAATAAAATACAGGCTCCTCTTGGCACACCCATGACTGAAGAGGCCATAAACCAAGAGCATAGGACAAGCCTTTTGAAGCCATGTCAGCACTTCACCGCAGAGTTTGGAGACAATCTAAAGGCAAAGTGTGAGCGCTATCTTTCAGGACAGCGTGTCTCTCGCATTTATGATCTCCCTGAGCAAACTCTGGTTAGCTGCCAAGGAAACATCGCCAGCCCCTTCCTGGAACTGCTTAGCTTTGGATTTTAATCTCCCCATCATCCCTGCCCTTTCTCCCTTACTCTTCTCTATGTTCCTCGGCGTTAGAGATTTGCCCACTGATGAAGACTCGGACTTTGCACTGGCTCCAGCGTTTCCGGCGAGTCAGAAGATAGGGGATGAGGAGGGTCAGCCCTGCGGAGCAAGGAGGGGAAAAAGAAGAAAAAAAAAGTCCAGAGACCAGCTGCACAACATGGTGGCACAACCATACTGCCAGAAAGAACACATCCTGTTTTGCAAGCAGAGCCCAAGATCTGCTGGAAAGGCATCTCCAAATGGTTTCCCCAACCAGTTGAAATCCCAGTTCAATAGGGCGAACAGGCCCCATTGTCATCTAACACCAGCTTTCATGGGTAAACCAGATATGAAATATGATTAGATGAGTTAATTCCACTTAATAATAAGGCTATGCTGATAGGACTCTTACAAGTCTTAAGATACATATTTCCTACCATCGCTTTAACCGTCTGGTTAATTAGGAAGGGGTGCTTCTAAGTTTCTTTCCTCTGACCATTAATCCCTTGGGGGACACCTGAATCTGTTGTCTAATTTTTGTTTCCTGCTTTCCCTCATCCTCCAAGGCTGTTCACACATTCCATTACATCTGGAAATAACCTTTTCATATAGATGGAGGGTTTGCCCATGAGAACCAATGACAAGATGGAATGAAAATATTATTTTCCAAGTGTGCTTCTTCCCAATTGCTAAGAAACAGATAAAGCCTGTAAATCCTACATATAATTCATGATATATATCTGTATACATGATAAACATATTATGTACAATGATTAAGTATTTATATCTATATGTATATCTATCTATCTATCTATCTATCTATCTATCTATCTATCTACAACACATTTATATCTAATTACAAAATATCTGTATATGTCCAAGGCTATATACACAGAAATATAGATGAAGACACACATATCTGTATATAGGTAGTTCTTGACTTACAACAATTCATTTAGTGTTCATATGATGACACTGAAAAAAGTGACATGACCATTCTTCACATTTATGACCACTGCAACATGCCTATGGTCATGTGATCAAAATTTTGATGCATCATAACTGGTTCATATGTATAACGATTGCAGTATCCCAGGATCATGTGATCAGCTTTTGTGACCTTCTGACAAATAAAGTCCATGGGAAAGCCACTTAATAACTGCAGTGATTCACTTAACAACTGTGGCAAGCAAGGTCATAAAACAGGGCAAAATTCACTTAACAAATGTCTCGCTTAGTAACATAAATTTTGGGCTCAATTGTGGTCATAAGTCAAGGATTACCTGTATTCATTCATTCATCTGGAGAAGATCTATCTGAGATAGTTGAGCTAACACCAACTTGATGGCATGATATCTATCATTTATGAAATTATATATAGTTGAATATTGCATATGTTATACATCTATCGCTGTTAATAATTTATGTAATAAAAGGACAATGAATGAGCCATAAAGAACCATGAAAAAAACTTCTCTTTATGGCTTTCCCATCTGTATCTAAACTTTGCCCTATTTGTAGATATGCACACTTCTTATAAATGTTTTGCAAGGAAAAAAAGGTCGCAATTTTATCAGAGTATCATGGTATCGATTATATTTCCAGGCTATTAGACGTTTTTTTGGCCATAAAAAATAGCAACAAAAACAAGAATTATTATTTCCAGGGAAATTCACGTACCACCATCATCAAACAACCAATAGATATCGATATTTTTCTTCTTCTGTTTGCTCTGGAACACGGTCTCCAGGTTGGCATCGGCACCAACTTTAAACACGCCACCTGAAACATAAACATAAAGAGATGTTCCACATAGCTCCCACTTTCTAGCTAGGTGCATGAACCACTTCACCAGACTAGCTTTATGAATGGCTATGGAATATCCTTCATCCAATTCTCTCCAAATTCCAAAGTTTTCCCAGCATTAAGTGATATTGGGGCTTAGCATTAAAGCACCAGTCTCGAAACCAGAAGACAGTGAGTGCTAGTCCTGTCTTGGGCATGAAGGACATCTGGGTGATTTCAGGCAAGTCACATTTAGCTCACAATACAAACAATAAGTCGGTTAAGTTAATTCTTGTTGAAACCAAAGGATCAACACTTGGTTGATCTGAAAAAAAGCACTTCTGGGAAAACATTAGGAAGATAAAAAAATTCCCACAGCACGTTCAAGCTTCCAGTCCTCATTTTTTGAAGTTCTTTTGATGTTAATTTGGAATGGTCTGAAAAGAGACAAATCCGAACAGGACACATTTCTTATTTGAGACCAAACTTACGTTTCTGTTTTTCCTTCCCCAAGGCGGCTTCTGTGTCTTCAAAACCGAGGTTCACTGTCCCAGAAAAAAGAGGAAAAGCCCAATTATCAAATCTGCATTTATTTATTTATTAGATTTTTAAACTGCCTTTATTACTTTATAATCCTCCTTCCTTCTCCTATTGTTGGTTTTGTTTAGAAATAAATCAACCAATAAACTATGTATATCTTGCCTTCTAACTAATTCAGTAATACAGGTAGCAAAGAGAAATTAAAATACAAAGAGCAACATTAAAGGCTGTTCCAAAATATGTACAGCCAGTCCTCAACTTACAACAGTTCAATTAGTAACCATTCAAAGTCACAATGGTACTGAAACAAGTGACTTATGACCATTTTTCACACTTACAAACATTGTAACAGGATCACGTGACCAAAAATAAAATGTTCAGCAACTGACTCATATTTATGACAGTTGCAGTGTCCCAGTCATGCATTGGGACATATTTGTGACAGTTATGCATTGATCCCCTTTTGCGACCTTCTGACAAGCAAAGTCAATGGGGAAACCAGATTCACTTAACAACTGGGTTAACTAACTTAACTGCAGTGATTCCCTTAAGTTCTACGGCAAGAAAGGTCATAAAATGAGACAAAGCTCATTTAACAAATGTCTGGCTTAGCTACATAAACGTTGGGCTCAGTTGTGGTCATAATTCAAGGACTACCTATAGCTCTTTTTGATTTTTTTAAGGAAAGCTTCACTGAAACCTGTTATCTTTTCCAGAATGAAAGCAAGAGATTGTTGCTTCCAAACCAGAAGTGGTATTCAGCAGGTTTTGACCAGTTCTGGGGAACCAGTAGCGAAAATTTTGAGTAGTTTGGAGAACCGGCAAATACCACCTCTGATTGGCCCTGTCCCCATCTATTCGCTGCCTCCCGGGTCGCAGCTGATTGGCAGGGTCTTTTTTGGTTGCCCTGCACAGGAGAACAGAGCTGGAAAGCAGGTTAGTGGGGTGGGGAGGGAATGGAGATTTTGCAGTATCCTTCCCCTGCCATGGCCACCAAGCCACACCCACCAAGCCATGCCCACAGAACTGGTAGTAAAAAAAAATTTAATCCCACCCCTGTTCCAAACACAGTTTTTGGAATTCACTCACCTTGGGCCTTGATTATCCGGGACATGTCCAGACCATCCTTCATCCGAAGCAGGCAGACCGCAGTGCCGAGATCAAAGGAGTCACTGGAAGAGAAAATTTAAATAATTATCAACAATTTTTATGCACTGTCCCTATCATCTGCTTTTTAAAAAACACAGAATAAGCTAAGAGAAGTCTATTTATTTATTATTTGTTATTGTTTTTCATTTGCTAAGTTGTACCCAGCTCCCTGCAGTCTCATGGTCCACAGCACACCAAGCTACCCTGGCTTTCATTGTCTCCTGGAGTTTCCCCAAATATGTATTTGTATCCTCCTTTAATTAATTTTTATAAATAACTCAAGGCTACGAACCTATCCAACACATTTTCCTCCTCCAATTTTTCCTCACAACAACAATAACCCTGTGAGGATTGAAAGACCGGCTTTTCATGGCTAAGGCAGGTCTTGAACTCACAAATCTCCTGCTTTCTAGCCTGGTGCCTTAACCTCTAGTCTACACCAAACTGGCTTTACAAACAGCTATGCAAGGGTCTTCAAACTTGGCAAGTTTAAGACTTGTGGACTTCAACTCCCAGAATTCCTGAGCTAATATGGCTGGAGGAGGAATTCTGGGAGTTGAAGTCCACAAGTCTTAAAGATGAAAAGTTTGAAGACCTATGAGCTATGGAATATCCTTCATCCAATTCTCTGCAATTCAAAAGTTTTCCTGACATTGACACCTGGTTTATCTAACTCCAAAAACAACATATTTATGGCTTTCACTGATTTTCCCTTGGAACCTATTTAAACTCAGGTAGTTTTACATACTAAAACAATATATAAAATGTAAAGGGCAAATGTTCTTCTACAACTTCTCTACCTTAGGAGAGATCCAAACCAATCCATTGGTTCATAAACTCGCCACACCTATAGTATACCCTGTTTTCTCCATTCCTAACTCCACCCCCTTTTTCATGTATTCTTCTTGAGAACATGTCCTTACTGTATTATGCCCACATAATTCTCCAGGTTTGGGGGAGAGTCAGTCTGCCAGTCATTTTTATAACCAAGAACTATGGTGTTGGGTTTTAGACGTCCTAGACCAGAGACCTGCAAGGAGAAAGTATGGTGAGTTTTTTTAAATTAAATGGAAAAGATAGTATCCACATTTATATACTGTGCAAAACATGGTTTATTTTAACCAGGGTCTGTTGAACAATTATGGTGGCCTGGTTTTCATACATTGACCATAAACTAATACCTAGAAACCATCATGGTTAGGTTCATCCAGCATACTCAGCCAGGAGATAGGTGGTGTCAAAATTGCAGACTAAGAGTATGTGTGTCTTGTAATGTTTTATATATTAGAGATCTCTATTTCAAAAATATCTTGATAACCATGTCTGTCTGCCTATCAATCCGTCTGTCCATCCATCCGTCCATCCAGATGGACTAGAACTTAGAAGTTTGAGCCAGAAATTTGTTTTCAACTTGTTCTTAATGTTAAAGTATTCAGTGATAAGGCTATATAAATATAATAAAGAAACCAATTTAAGTGTAAAGATTATCTAGAGAATTGTAGGTAATCCTCAACTCACAACCATTCGTTTAGTGGCTGTTTGAAGTTGCACTGAACAGCAATGAAAAAAGTGTTATGACCAATTTTCACACTTATGACCATTGCAGCATTCCCACATGATCATGTGATCAAAATTCAGGTACTTGGCAACTGATTCATATTTATGATGGTTGCAATGTTCCAGGATCATGCAATTGCTTTTTATTATTATATAATTTCTTTCATCACTTTGATATGTTTGGAGTCAGGCATGTTATAGAAATTATAAAGGGTATACCCACTTTTTAATGTTGGTTCTCTACCACTAAGCTAAAACCCCTTTGTGAAGACACATAGAAGATTTTGTCCTCATCATTTTGGCTAATAGAATGGGATCTCCAGGTTTCACCAAGGGAGATTTCCAAGAAGTCTTGAAGCTTTGAGGTGAGGATTAACAAAAACGGCTGGTACAGAATACCAATACTACAAAGTAGCTAAGAATCTATGCTATGAGTCCTTGGTGCTCTCCAGGCTGGGTAGTTTTCTTGCAGACGTTTCATTACCAAACTAGGTAACATCATCAGTGCATCACCTAGTTTGGTAATGAAATGTGTGCAAGAAAACCACCCAGTTTGCAGAGTACCAAGAACCCCAATAGTTCAACTCTGAGCTACAAATATTTTCTTCTTTCGCTATCATCTTCATTTGGCCAAACCCACCATAGATAGATAGATAGATAGATAGATAGATAGATAGATAGATAGATAGATAGATAGAAAGATAGATAGATAGAAAGATAGAAAGATAGAAAGATGATAGATAAAATTGGTATTTTCAAAATATAAAATACAAAGAAAAATAAAAAAGTAATGGAAAACTAAGAAGAGGAGGAAGGAAAACAAAAAAAAAAGAATAGTATAAAGGGAGAAAATTATATATACGTACATACATACACACAAGCCATTTCTATAACAATAAGCCTATCAAAGTTTCATTGCAAATCCAGACGCAATCTCAGAATAGAAACAAAGTTAGATATACTCTCTTCTTTGGATAAAATAATCAATCTGACTATCTCTGCTTCTCTTTGCTATGGGGAGTAATATATGCTTCTGTTAACTCATTAATCTTTATCATAATTTATTAACCCACCATCTTTGAATGAGTGAGCACCCCGGGACCAAAACCGAGAGTCATTCTTTCAGCTTCAACCCATCTCTCTGTCAGAGTCTTTGCTCCTTTCTCCAGCAATAAATGCAAAAACATTACACAAAGCCTCCACTCCGAAAACCTCAGTCAGCTTTGCAAATACAATACCTGCATAAGGCTCCTAGCTCCTGAACGTAAGTCTCCGATGGTGATGAAGTTGTAGAACGCTTGGATTTTCCGCTTGCTGAGCCACTGAAGTTGCTCGTCGTAATCCTCAATGCAGGAGGAATCCTTTAGGGAAAACCAGAGGGTTTGAGCTTAAAAGGGGCAGAAGACCTTCCCCCACCTCTTTATTCCTGTCCCACAGAGTGGAACAGGGCAACTCACTGCAGCCAACTCGCCACGGAATAATTTGCCATGGCCAACTCGCTGCAGGAAAATTCCACACGGGATAACTCAATGTTACCCACTACTATTTCTTTGACCTAATTTCCATTTTTGTGGAAATGGACAAACATGAAAATAATGTAGAAGAAACAGTGGCAGACAACATTTATCGCATTTGAGTTATCCCATGTGGAATTGTCCTGTGGCCAGTTGTCCTGCAGCAAGTTGGCCCGGCAAGATGGCTGCAATGAGTTGTCCTAGAGCCGCCCAAAAGCTGACCCCTAAAAGGTGCACTAACCTCAGTCACATTTCCGCATATCATGAGGCTGACGTTTTTAGTGAAGGCGCCAACAAAATCCACCAGAGCTGGTCGGAAGTTGGGTGGGCCCGACAGGACCAAACACTGAGGCCTGCAGATGGGAAAGGTAGCAACCGCAAGAGAGTTAGTAAATGTGTATCACACCACAAGATGCGTTCTCCAGTTCCCTAAAACAGTGGTCCCCAACCTTTTTTGTGCCGCGGCCCGGTACCGACATCACAAAATGATCCGTGGCCCGGTACCGGCATCAGCACACATAGCAAGGTGAGCCGAGCGACTGGCCAGCCAGCTGTCCCCTGCTTCTCCCCGCCACCTTCAACTCCTCCTTTGTACCTGTGTCGATGGGCTTCGGGACGGCTTCGGGACGGTCGCTCAGCTCACCTTGTCATGCGTGCTGAAAGAATTCTTGCACCTTAGTTTTGTTCGAAGCCGCCCCCCCCCTCGATGAAACTAAGGCGCGAGGATTCTTTCAGCACCCAAACGCCGCTTTCTACCCGGAAAAGCTCACCGGAAGCACTTTTTCATCAAAACAAGATGGCGGCGCCCAGCAAACCGGCGGCCCGGTAGAAATTGTTCCATGGACTGGTACCGGTCCAGGGACCGGCGGTTGGGGACCCCTGCCCTAGAAGATCTGCATGAAGCAACACCAGAGGCGATTGCTTGAAGAGCTGAAGTAGACATCCGGTTATGAAACCACTGACATATCCCCATAGAAGTTTTACTTATAAATATGTGGAGAATGTATATCAGTGGTGGGATTCAAATTTTTTTAGTACTGCTTCTTTGGGCTTGGCTAGGTGGGTGTGGCTGTGTGACTGTGTGACCATGCCTTTTTTATTTTGCAGGCCTAACCCTGTTTTTTGGGCTTTGTGGGCCTCAGGGAAGCCTCCTGGGCGGGGGGGGGGGCAGTTTTGCTCCCAGAGGCTTTCCTGGAGCCCAGGAAGGAAAAAACCAGCCTGGAAGGGCTGCAGCAACCCGCCCCCCCATGCTCCATTTTGGGGCCTTCTGGGCCTCAGGGAAGCTTCCTGGGGGGTGTTTTTGCTCCCAAGAAGCTTTTCTGGGGCCCAGGAAGACAAAAAATGGAGTCAGAGGGGGCTGTGCTCCCCTGCCCCCATTTTTTGCCTTCCTGGTCCTCAGGGAAGCTTCCTTGACAAAGCAGTAAGACAGCAAGGGGAATCCCGGCACAGCTAATCATAGGAACAGCTGATTGTCGGGAGGAAAAAAAAAAAGAAATACCTTAAGGAATGACTGGGCAGGGAAGAACGCAGTCAGTGATGTTGGGATGCATATGATGTTGCACATGCGCGATAAGGACTGAGTAGGCATGGAGAGGAGGGACAACTGAGTCAGGGGTGTGGCCAGCCAGAAGTTACTACCAGTTCAGCAACCCACACCAAATCCTTGCTACTGGTTCATGTGAACCGGTGAGAACCGGCTGAATACCACCACTGGTGTATTTACTTCTCTTCCATTGTGCTTTCATCATATGCTGAGTGATAATAAATAAGCACCAGATGAACGGGGAAGTAGGGATAGACAAGCTCCCTTCAACTCAGTTCAGTTGCAGATGTGCTACATGTCATAGGTACGGGTACTTTAGGGCACTGTCCCTGGGAATATAATTCAATTAGGCAGCTAACATAAAGGGAGCAACTGGCATAACTAGGACATTCCTCAAAACAGTATAGAGGTAGTCCTCGACTTATGGCTACAATTGGTTCACCCCACAGAGGGAATAAAGGTGTCAGGGTTCCGACCGATGCCCACATACTTTGAATTGCAGTTGTTCCAAAGGTGCTTTTTTTCAAGAGGCAACTGGTTTTTCTTTGAAGATGTTGCGCTTCTCATCCAAGAAGCTTCTTCAGCTCTGACTGGTTGGTGGGGCTGAATTCTTCAGTCAAAGCTGAGGAAGCTTCTTGGATGAGAAGTGACACATCTTCAAAGAAAAACCAGAAAGTGCAGTTGCACTCTTGAAAAAAAATCACCTTTGGGACAACCACAGTTCAAAGTTCAACCTTTGCAGCCCTTGTGTGGAATGAGCCCCAGAGCACAGGTTATGTCTCTTCCACTTGTCCACTCACCGGAAATTCTTGACATGGTCTTCCACATTGGTCAGGTTCATGGCATTCGAGAGAGCCATGTTGTAGGTCCCAGCTTGTACTGAGGAGCCCCAGTTCACCTCTGTGAGGAACAAGGAGGGAAAGAAAGTTGGAAAGCGAAAAATGAGATATTCTGTCAGTCATTTCCTATCTTCTATCTCTTTAGTGTTTTCCCCTAAAACAAGTAGAACACAGAAATAGCATCCTTGGCCTGCTATAAGTTCTTAGAACCTTTTTCTGTTAATGAGCTACCTTTACAAGAGTTAGCAACTATTTTAAACAGTATATTTATGGATACCTCTCTTTTTGGATACCCCATCTCTGCTACCACTTTGTCATGGGCTCTTTTAACTACAAGTAGACTTAACTTTATGACCACAATTGAGCCACACATTTGTGTTGCCAAGCAAAATGTTTGTTAAGTGAATTTTGTCCCATTTTAGGACTTTTCTGGCCATAGTTGTTAAGTGAATCATTGCAGCTGTTAAGTTAGTAACAAGGTTGTTAAAGGAACCTGGCTTCCACATCGACTTTGCTTGTCAGAAGGTCACAAAAGGGGATCACATGACCCTGGGACATCACAAATATCATAAATGCGAGTCAGTTGCCAGATGTCCGAATATTGATCACGTGATCATGGGGATGCTGCAATGGTTGTTAAGTGTGAAAAACGGCCATAAGTCACTGGTTTCAAATGTTGTTGTAACTTTGAACGGTCAGTACATGAACTGTTGTAAGTCAATAGATTACGAACTGTTGTAAGTCAACTATCTACCCAAATTGGTGGACTTAAAACACAAAAAAGCAAACAACACGGGTCCCTAGAGAACACACACAAGTACTCACATACTCAAATACTATTATTTACTATTCACTCTTGTCCAAACGGATTATATTTGGAATGCTATCATTCCACACATCTTGGTACCAGTTTGGGGAGAAATGATGTGTGTCTATTAGAATAACAGAGCTGGAAGGGACCTTGGAGGTCTTCTAGTCCAACCACCTCCAATCCCTTCTTAAAAACTTCCACTGTTGGAGCATTTATAACTTCTGGAGGTAAACTACTCCACTGATTAATTGTTCCAAATGTTAGGAAATTTCTCCTTAGTTCTAGGTTGGTTTTCTCCTTGATGAGTTTCCACCCATTGCTTCTTGTCCTGCCCTCAGGTGCTTTGGATAATAGCTTGACTCCCTCTTCTTTGTGGGAGCCCCTCAAATATTGGAAGACTGCTAGCATGTCTCCCTTAGTCCTTCTTTTCATTAGACTAGACATACCCAATTCCTGCAACCATTCTTCAAATGTTTTAGCTTCCAGTTCCCTAATCATCTTTGTTGCTCTTCTCTGCACTCTCTCTAGAATCTCAACATCTTTTTCATATCGTGGTGACCAAAATGAATCTTGATATCAAGATTGTGGATGGTGGGCATTGCTGTTCTCCAACTCTGGAGAATATCATGTGGGTGGGTGGTGCCTATCTCAGGAACAATTTCAAAGTGTCCTCACCTGGTTTCTTGTAGGTGACATAGGCCAAGCTCACAATGATGACCCCAACAACAATGAGGGCTGCCCACCAAGTCAGCAGGAACATGATGACCACAGAGACAATGGATCCAAAAAGTGCAGTCCATTTGCTGAAGTAGCGGAAGGAAGGCCTCCAGCCTAGACAGGGCAAAAGGGAGATGGGAATGTCATTTATCATCCACAGAGCCCTCCCACCAGTTTAATCTGAAGCTTTAGCCATTAAAGCAAAAGATTTAATGTTTTTGATGTTGGCCATGCAAGGCCAGAAACCTAAGAAAGTTTCTGTTATGTGGCCATGTACAATAGAAGTATATATTAATCATGAAATATACTATTATATACAGCATGCATTATCGTGTAACCTACTATTACACATTGTATACATGACTGTATATAAGTGCAAATACACAGTATTATCTTCTTAATATGTAGCACATTACAACACGCAATGTAATACAATGTACCTTTTCAGATTTCTCTACGACTAGTAACTTGTATATAGTATATGTGTATGCATGTATGGCACTTATATGATGTTCATAACTTGCATTTATGACATTTTAAGCTAGGATTGATTCCATGTCTCAATTTTCATCTCAGAAGCAGATCAAGATTGGGAAAGATCCTTAAATAAACAATGAATGGGTGAATGAAAGACAGAGAGAGGAAGAGAGGGAGAGATTGACTGAGATTCACTGTCAGGACAAAAACCTAAATTAGAGGGCTTCTCAGCAGAAGGCCAAAACAGTATGTAGGATTCATTCAGAATTGCTAACTTGTATTTCCACACTACCTTCTGAATTCACACAGTCCTGAGACAAAAAAAGGTTTTACCTTCCAGGCCCTGGTTCATTTGCCCAATCAATCAGAATAGAGATGGAAGGGATGTTCGAGGGTTTGCAGGAAGAGAGAAAATTGGAATAGAATGGAATAGAATAGAATAGAATAGAATAGAATAGAATAGAATAGAATAGAATAGAATAGCAAAATAAATAAAATGGAATGGAACAGAAGAGAACAGAACCGAATAGAGAATAGGAATAGCATAGCTTAGAATAGTATAAGGAATATAATAGAATGGAATGGAATAGAAGCTGGAAGGGACCTTGGAGGTTTTCTAATCCAGCCCCCTGCTGAAACAGGAGATCCTATATCTATCATTTGACACAAATGGTCCAATCTCTTCTTTAAAACCTCCGATGATAAAGCATTGTCAATTTCTGACAGCCAGCTATTCCACTGGTTAATTGTTCTTACTGTAAGAAGTTTCTCCTTAATTTCAGCTGCTTCTCTCCTGGATTAATTTCCATCCCTTGTTTCTTGTCTAGTGCTTTGAAAAACAAACTGACCCCCTCTCCTTTGTGGCAGCCCCTCAAATACCGGAACACAGGTAGTCCTCAATCTTCGACCACAATTGAGCCCAAACTTTATGTCGCCAAGTGAGAAATTTGTTAAGTGAGTTTTGTCCCATTTTGATGACTTCTCTTGCTACACTGAATCGCTGCAGTGGATCAGTGAGTAACAGTGTTGTTAAGTGAATTTGGTTTCCCCATTGCTTTTCATAAGGTCGCAAAAGGGGATCCAATGACCCCGGAACATGGCAACTGCCATAAATGTGAGTCATGTTTTTAGCATCCAAATGTAAATCGCGTGATCATGGGGCTGCAGCAATGGTCGCAAGTGTGAAACATGGTCAGAATTCACTTTGTCAGTGCCACTGTAACTTCAAATGGTCACTAAGTGTATGAACTGTTGTATGTTGAAGACTACCAGTATGGCTATCATGTCCCCCTTAGTCCTTCTTTTCTCTAGACTAGCCAAACCCCAAATCCTGCAACCATTCTTTGTATGGTTTTTGTGCCCCAGGCCTTTAACCATCTTAGTTGCTCTTCTTGGCACCTTTACCCAATGTCTCCAAGTAGCCATCCCCTCTTACCTGGAGAATTGGTGATGGTGGCATGGAAACAGCTGAAGTTGATCAGGGCGTAAGAACAGAGGAAAAAGTTGGAGATGATGGGAGCGATGGTATTCAGTTCAGCTGCAAAAGGAAAGGGCTTGGTTTCAAAAAAAATTCCTACTGGTTCAGAGAGAGTGCTTCACGCAGGGCTCTAAAGACCATCCTCTGTATCAACGCTGGTGAGCTGTGCTGTTTTTTAGCTCAGCTGAGGCACGGCAATTCACTCTGTGGTATGAATCAGCTGAGCTAATAAACAACAGAATATAGAAGAGGTAAGAGCGGGGGTGGGTGGCTGAACCAGTCAAAAATTTTGCTACTGGTCCGCCAGAACTGGTCTGAACTGGCTGAATGCTACCTCTGGATGTGAGGAATACTGTCAAGCCACTGCACTACTCCACAAGGATTCTCCTGTGCCGGGCATAGGTAAGTCCTTGAGTTACAGCTGCCATTGAGCTAAGCACTTAGGTGAGCTACGGCTCATTTTACGGTCTTTTTTGCTGCAGTTGTTAAGCAAATTGCTTCAATCAGGCCGTTGTTGGGCGAGTCTCACTTCTCCAATTGACTTTGCTTGTTGGAAGCCAGCAGGGAAAGTTACACATGGTGACCCCAGAACACTGCACTAGTCATATAAATACATGCCGGACGCCAAGTGTCCAAATTTTGATCAGGTGACCATAGGCAAGCTGCAACCATGTGTAAACTGTTCACAGTTCACTTACAGTGCTGTTGTAACTTCGAATGGTCACGAAACGAATGGTTGTAAGTCAAGAACTCCCTGTGACTAATCACATATCCCAGGAATGGGATTTCTTTTTAACAATTTTAACTGACCTCTCAATTCACATCACATGATAGACCTCAATGAGTTAAGAAAACCCCATTGCCGCGTTCTCCAAATCTGGTGGGCTCAAGCAAGTCAACTGTGGTTTAACCAAATAACAGAGTTGGAAGGGATCTTGGAGGTCTTCTAGTCCAACTCCCTGCTCAGGCAGGAGACCCTATGCTATTCCAGACAAATCGTTGCCTAATCTCTTCTTAAAAACCTCTAGTGATGGAGCACCCATGACTTCTGAAGGCAAGTCGTTCCACTGATTAATCATTCAGGAAATTCTCTCCTTAGTTCTAGTTGGTTCTCTCCTTGATTGGTTTCCATCCATTGCCTTTTGTCCTGGCTTCAGGTGCTTTGGAAAACATACTGATCCCCACTTAAAGGAAACCATGTTGAAAAGAAGGCTTCCTTACAACCCCCAGATCTAGAAAGCACACAATCCACCTAACGTACTTAACGGGATGTGTGAATTTGTTCATTACAAGTGGCTCCTCAATCCACAGATTCATGTTCAACTTCAAAGCATTTCTAACCTATTCATCTCCCTTCCAGCCCTTGGCCTTTTCATTCACATTTTGGAAGAGAGAAATTAAGATGACCAATGTATAAGCTTACCTATGAGGATGAATGCAATGGCCAGGATAAAGGTAAGGGCATAAGCCCTCAGTGGCTCCTTATTCTTTCCATAACCCTTGGCGAAAAAGCCGATCAGAGGGTAGAGGTTGTCTTGACAGAGGCACTAGAAGGAAGAAGGACAAAACCTTGGAAGCAGGAGTCTCCAAACTCATTAGGGACAATCAAGGAAGGTGCCACAGGAATAATTATTTATTTATTGATTGATTTGATTTGTCAATCACTTACAAGATAATGGGTATAAGTATAAACATAGTTATGAGTACATGAAATGGATACGTATAAGCATAAACATAGTTATGAATACATGAAATGGATACATATAAGAAAAATAAAAAGAAACAATAGGACAGGGATGGTAGGCACATTGGTGTGCTTATGCACACCCCCTAAGGCTTCTTGCCATAACCAGATGTTGGGCAGGTTGGAGCAAGCCAAAAAGATTTGATTTGGTATTAGTCCTACCTCAATCCATATGAACACAGGGCCTAATTTACCATTCCCACCTGCGATAACTTCTCTACCTTCTAACTACAAGTAGGTCATGGTTGTCCAAATATAGTTTTCAAAAGGCAACTGGACTTTCTTGGGGTTTTTTCCTTTAAAACGTTTCGCTTCTCAACCCAGAAGCTTTATATTCAGTTCTGACAATGGTGGGGAATAAAATTTATATTCTTTATGACCAGATGACTGCAAAGAATATAGTACTTCCATTCCCACCATTCATTCAGAACTGAAGAAGCTTCTTGGATGAGGTGCAAAATGTTTTCAAGAAAAAACACACACAAGAAAGTTCAGTTGTAAAAAGCACTTTTGGAACATCTCTATCTACTTTTCTCTGATAAAACAGCTCGAAAGTGAAGCAACTTACAAGGCCGTTACAGCTTTTAATTCTAAACCGTCCCTACTCCCCCTCACCTACAAGCTTTAAAACTGAATAACAATATTCAAACTCAGCACATTCAGAAAGAAATCCCCCCACTTGTCAAAGTTCAGCCTGACCAGTGAGAAAGAACTTGTTCTTTTCTAAAGTTAAAGGCTAACTCATGAAATTGACCTGGTGTTAAATTTGGAGAGAGGTAAAACCAAACTCTATCACAACAAAAGAAGCTTATGGAGTTTACTGCCGAGGGACTTACGGAAAGTCATTTTCATGAAGAACTTTCTTCAACCCTAAGCTTCTCCAGAGGGGTTGGAATAACCAGAATTCACAGCTGACATCAATTTGAAGGATATTCTTGGGGAGATCCCAACATTGTATCCCTATTTCATAGAATCATTGAGCTGGAATGGATCCTGGATCCCTTCTAGTCCAGCCCCCTGCTCAAAGTAGGAGTCTTGTCCCATTTCAGTCAAATGATTGTCCAGTCTATTTCTGAAAACATCCAGCAATGACCCAAAGGTGCTTTTTCAAGAGGCAACTGGACTTTCTGGATTTCCTTTGAAGACGTTTTGCTTTTCATCCAAGAAGCTTCTTCTGAAGAGCTAAAGAAGCTTCTTGGATGAGAAGCAAAACTTCTTTTAAAAAAAAGCAAACCAGAAAGTCCAGTTGCCTATTGAGATAGCACCTTTGAGACAGTCATGACCTGGATGACTCAGAATCTCTATAGACCTCCAATAATGAGCATCTACCACTACGGTGGGCAAGCTAATTCATTGATTGCATCACACTCATGTCACAAGAACTGAGATGCTTCTAGGTTGAAAGGATGAACTGGTGGCATCACCATTGCCAAGTTGGGAGCTCCATTCATGTCCCTGGCAGGAGCTGGAGAGAAGGATGAAAGCTCACCCCACCCCAATGCAGCACTCAGGTCTCAGACACGGGCTTGCTACTTCCAACCCAGTGTCCTAACCATGCAAGCCACTGTGCTTCCTTATTCTCTTAATGAATTGCTACTGTTTCTGGCCCCATAATTTGTCCCCAATCTTACCTGGAAGACCTTGGGGGCTGACACAAGGCAAGCCAAAGCAGAGGAGAGTGTAGCAGCGAAGATTCCTGCAGTGATTAGAGGACTGAATGCTGACACCATGCTCATTGTCTGGAAAAGAAGGGTGGGGGGACCATTTTGAAGAGAGAAAAGTCCAAGTCACACATCCCAAATCTCTCTTCTACTTCCAAAAAGTAAAAGGGGTGAGTCCAGTAGCCGTACCTGGTAATCATTGGCAAGCCCATATTCACAGGTCTGTGTCACACTACATTCGGTGAAGTTCCAGCCATACCCGCAGCCCAGGCCAACACAGTCTCCACCAGTGAAATTGGAAACCAAAGTGTCATTTAGACTTCCAGAGGCATCACGGACAACACAAGCTCCTGTAGATGATAAAGAAAAAGGTCTCACAGGATGGGACCCCGGCATGGCTGTCAGGAGCCTGTAGTCCCAAAATGGAATCTTAGTTACCTATGGTGGCAGCAATGGCCAAATAGCTAATGGTGGTCAGGAAGATAGCCATTAGTGTCCCTTGGGGAATGGCCACTGCTGGGTCCTGCAAAAGAAAGACTGTGGTGAGCAAAAATGGCTAAGAAGCTGGAGAAGATATACAGGAGAAAGCAGGGGTGCATTCAGCTAAAACCATGAATGATATAGTTCTTCACTTCCTAGAACTGCCTCCACCTAACTTTATCTGAGGAGAAGCAAGACTTCCATTTCTGCATTCTCTTTGTAGCACCATCTTGAATGAAACCACCAGAAGTTCTTTCTCAGTTAAGCTGGGACGAAGAACAATGTTAGAAATTCTGTTTATATGTAGCACCAAAGAGCAGAGTACAGTCACCCATGTGTTTTACTGCTCAACTTTTTAACTGTGGTGCTATATAGAAACATAATTTCTAACAGGTTATGGGCCCAAAGATCCAAGGGTGGTGCAGCAGCATAAACTACCCAGTCATAACCAGCTTCAGTGCCAGCAAATAAGTGCAAGATATAGCAAAAGAAAGGAGACTGCAACAGAATAAAAGAAAATGGCCAGTAACATAGTGGCAACAAAGATTTCATTTGCAAATCTGACAAACCAGAACTATCAGTTTTGGAAATTCAAGATGAAGATGATGCAAATAAGAGAAGGTACACGGTGGTTTGCTCTGTGGTACTATATATAAATAAATTTCTAACAACCCCTGTGTTTTTTTCCTCCAGCAGCGACCCCACCTAATGACATTTGAGGGAGGAGAAGCCATCATCAATAGAAGCCAATTAGCTGTTCCCTTTATGGGACCATCCACTGCTCCAACACAGAGGATCCAATCTTCAGTTCAACTGGGACCAGAGACAATATGGCTCTTCTGTTCCTAGAATTGCCTCTATCTGCTATATCTAATCTAATCTATATCACCAGGACTGAATGTACTTTTGGGGCAAGTGCCAGGGAACAGAAGATATGCATGGCGCTGCCCCAACCTACAAAGGAATTATTGTTGCAACAGTTGCTGCAATGTTACTGCAACAAGTCATATATGCTGAAATTCATTGGCATAGCTCTCTTGCTTTCCCTGACATGTATATTAAACCCAACGGTGTCCTATATGGTTTGTTGTATAATTAGAAATCAGTATGGTTACTATGGTCTTTACTCAGCTAGGTATGGTGTCTCTACTTGCTTGTTCTTTCCCAGCCTATTAGGCTCTTTCCCCCATTTCCTATTAGCCTCAAAGCCCTGATACCCAGATGTTCCCATTCCATGCTTATCTGGTCCAAGTAAACTAATTGACAGGCAACAGGAATTATTTTGCAAGGTAAAAACTATTCAAATAACTGCTGTAGTTCCCTTCTGTGAACCACAGCAGAACATAACCCATAAATATGTTACTCTGTGTGGAAGATGTAAGTCCTTGATGCTTTCTGAGCTTGGTTATTTGCCTGCAGACATTTCATTGCCCAACTAGGTAATATCATCTGTACTAATAGTATATCACTATATTATTCTTATCTAGTTGGGTAATGAAATATCTGCAGGCCAGCGACTCAAGTTCAGAGAACAACATTACGGACTCCAAGTTCCACCCTGAGCTACAAATATTCTCTTCTGTAAGATATACTTTGACTTAGTTCCATTCCAAATCTTACTTTGTGGACTGATTTTATTGCAAACCAGGGTGCTTCCTGAAAAGTTGGATTATAGCTGCACAAACTCCAGGTACAATGGTGAAATATCTTCCTTTTTTTCCTTTCCTTGCATTATTTTTCCTTGCGTGCTTCCCTCTTCTGAAGTAATCCAGGTAAACAATAAAGAAAAGGGTCTTCTCTGCATTGTCCTCCAATTTGGCAGTTCCTTCCCAGAGGAGGGCCAGTTGCCGTTGATCTTCTCTAAGAAGATCTTGTGGCAAGATTCTTGGTCCTGATCTTGGCCTTGACTTGGAAGATCTTGAGTCAAAGATCTTGGCCTTGATTTTCTTTTCTGAGCTTCTAACACAAGGGTCTTCAAACTTGGCAAGTTTTACTACCAGTTCTGTGAGCGTGGTTAGGTGGGCATGGCCATTTTACTGGGTGGTCATGGCTTTTTATTTTTGCAAAAAAAAAAACCCATTTTTTGGGCCCAGAATTCCTGAGCTAACATGACTGGAGGAGGAATTCTGGGAGTTGAAGTCCACAAGTCTTAAAGCTGTGAAGTTTGAGCAGATGGTGTTCTAACAGATGGTGGTTTGAGGTTGTCTAAAATGGTGTTTTTCATACTTGGCAACTGTGTGAAAGATGTGTAGACTTCACCTCTAATGCTGGCTATGGAATTCTGGGAGGTGAAGTCGACACATTTTTAAGATTACCGAGTTTGGAAAAAAAACTGGTCTAAATTATCCTTCTGAAGAAAAGGGGTAATCTTTTAAGCCTGAACCCTCTGATTGTGAGGAGATTTAGTGGGATTCCTCTGTCTTCTATGGAATGTGGCTTGGCCAGATCTTGCTCACAGATGTCTAAAGAGCAACCTGAATGGAAAATTATTCTCTCTTTCATCCAACTATGAGATCACCCTTCCTTAATCAATGTCATATGGGTAAGTTGGGTCTGAAGTTCCCAGAAGTCAGTTTTAAAGGCACCAGGATGCAGAAGGTTGCTTTAAGGAAGGGTCTATATGTGTGTGTATTAACTCATTGCAGAGGAACCTGAAAAAAGGGGAACATACAAGTACACAGGATATCCTGTTTGTTTCCCTAATAAGTCATGAGCTTTGGTTGAAATTATATTGCTGTAAACTCTCATTCCTCATCCTGTATTAATGGAGAAATGCAAATGGCTGCCTTTAACTCAGTATTGACTCTTGGTGATACATGGACAAGTCCATGCAGTCTTCTTGGCAACAGTTTTTTGGGAAGTGGCCCTAGGGCTGAGAGAAAGGGACTGACTGATTTAAAGTCACACATCTGGCTTTGTCCCTAAGACAGGTCTAGAACTAGTCTCCCAGCTTCTATCCTACATCTCAGGCTTGCTTACGAAAAAGTTCTGCTGGTAGGAAAAGATAAAGAAAATACCATTGATTTTCCAGCTGTTCCCACAAAAAGCAGAAATCTTCAAGATTTCCCCCTCCTTACTGCATCTACAGCATCCAAAAGTCATCTGGGTCATTCTTAAGTGCCCCCATTCAAATATGGGGGGCAAGGCTGCCAAAGAACCCGCTCTGTCAGCAAACACAGAAAATCGTGGGCAAGAGAAAACATTCTGCCTACCCAGCAGCAGTCATCTTGGGGAGGAGCTCCCCCATCCGGGGGTGGTATTCAGCAGGTTCTGACCAGTTCTGGAGAACCAGTAGTGGAAATTCTGAGTAGTCCAGAGAACTGGCGAATACCACCTCTGACTGGCCCTGCCCCCATCCATTCTCTGCCTCCCAAGTCCCAGCTGATTGGCTTCTTTTGTTATCTTGCACAGCAGAGCTGGAAAGTAGGTTAGTGGAGTAGGGAGGGAATGGGGATTTTGCAGTATTCTTCCCCTGCCACGCCCCCAAGCCACACCATGCCCACCAAACGATGCCCACAGAACCGGTAGTAAAAAATATTGAATCCCACCACTGCCCCAATCCTACATCTTAAACCAAGGTAGCTCAGTAATATTTTATTTTAAAAAAAAGCTTTTGTCCCCAAAACATTTTTAATCATCTCCTTTTCTGGAAGTGCAAGAAGAATTTTTAGGAGATTTTTGACAGTTGAAGCCAAAATTTCATCCTTTTGCTACAAGTCTGTAGAGATTCTCAGTCATCTAGGCCATGGTTGTCCCAATGGTGCTTTTTTGGGAGGCAACTGGACTTTCTTTCTTGTTTTTCCTTTTGAAGACATTTCGCTTTTCATCCAAGGAGCTTCTTCAGCTCCATTCCATTCCCCACTATCCTGTCAGAGCTGAAGAAGCTTCTTGGATGAGAAGCGAGATGTCTTCAAAAGAGAAAAATAAGAAAGTCCAGTTGCCTCCTGAAAAAGCACCTTTGGGACATCTTTTTGCTACGTTTTCTACAGACTCTTGGTTTCTGTGAATCTGTTACCATCTTTTTTCCCTCTACTTTTAAATCCTTTCCTTTGAAAAATGCCCCGGAAATATTTTACTGATAAGAGAATATTAATTTTTAAGGGAGACAGACAAGCAAGAGAAGAAGACCAACTCAGCTCCATTGTGTTTTGATGCAACCTGCAGCCAAAAGCTACATGGAAAGCTTGAAGGAAAGCTGCCAAGCCGACCTACCTTCAAATCTCCTGAAATATTGGCCCCAGCCAGGATCCCAGTGGCTGAAGGGAAGAAGATGGAGAACATGCCGAAAAAACTGCCTGATTCACCTCGCCATTCAGGCCTGAGATTCTCCAAGAAGATGTCATCTTGAAGAAGAAAAGAATTTTTTTAAAAAAAAATAATAAATCAAGTGAGCACCCCAAAAGCCCCTGAACTTTTTTTTTAAAGGCTTTTCAAGAATCCAGATTGTAGAGCTGCCTTAGACAGAATCAAGCAATTTGCTTATCTGCTTTAATGTGGTTTGCTTTAATTAGCAGCAGCTCGTTCAGATCTGTCTTTTTCATTCTACTTGATGACTCAAAAGACAGGAACCTGGAACTTCAGTAGGGCAAGGCAAATCCTTGATACCTGAGCGCTTTCCCTTGTCAAAATAAATAAATAAAGGCTCTATTCCTCATGATTCCAAATAAAGGGACATTCTGAATATGAATATAGGAAGCTGCTTTACTGCGTTGCCATACTCAGCCTGGTTAACCATGATGTACTGAACAAACTAGACTTGCCTGCATTCACAAACCAAATTATTATCCATTACTTAGTACAGAGGTCTCCAAACTTGGAAGCTTTAAGAGTTGAAGTCCACAAGACATAAAGTTGCCAAGTTTGGGGACCTCTGACTTAGTGCAGGCAGGGGGCAGAGAACTGTCTGTCTTTGGCTACTGATGGCCAGTATTGTTTTAGGCAAAACTTGTTCTTCATCTGGGTCCATTGAAAGTCCCATGGACAGAACCTGTGACCTTCAGTGGGCCTGTTGGGATGTGTACTTCTGAAATTCAGTTCTTCCTGAATATGCCAAGGTTTGCAGTATTATGCTATGGGACGGTACAACATGTTTGAAAAATTGCAGAGTGTGCAGGAGTATAAATCTTGCAACTCTTTAAAGCAGCTATATCTCAGAAGATACGGTTGCTTTAAAGAGGAGGGCAGTATTTTTATTGCTGCCTAAACTGAGTAGCCGTGCAACCCGTATTATATAAATATGATTCTGTCCAGAAGACCAAGAGTTGCAGAGTATGAGTCTTACTACGATAGCTGAAGTAGCCTTTGGCCATTCTCTCTGAGGAGGCCGGGATTAAGGTTCCGATGAAATAGTTGACGAAGGATACCATGATGACAAAGAAGAAGACAACCTGAGCCTGGAAAGAGAATCAAGAAAAGATATAAAGGCTTCATTCCCAGCTGGATCAACTTTCTGATCCTGGTGTCAACTTATAAAACATTCCTATACCTGTTTTAATAGTTGCCATTAAAAAGGGCGGGGGGGAATCTGGAAGAGCAGTTGAAAGTGGAAATACATTCCAACTCTTATCTTTAAAAGATTGTAATTAAAATACCAGAGTTTTTGCCCAGAATATATTTAATTGGAGAACGTGAATGATGATGCCCAGCCTGTTAAGGTGCTCAATAGGAGAATCTGGTTTATGAGACACCCGGGGGTGGGGAGGGAAACAGGGTCACAGGTGACTGTAAATTATGTAAGCCAGAGTAGGCTTGTTGTCAGGATTCATACAGGGCAGTGCCAGTATGTCGCCTCTAATGAATCCTTTGAAAGTTTTTGAAGTTTGACTTGAGGATCATGATTTAATTAGAGAGCGATTGCTGGAATTCTGACACCTGGATTTCATGGGAGTCTTTATTCAATATATATGGACTTTACCTGAATTTGATCAGTTATTTTCGTTGACTTGGTTAGATACAGGTAGTCCTCAACTTATGATCACAATTGAACCCAAAATTTACATTGCTATGTGGGACCTTTGTTCAATTTTGTCCTATTTTATGACCTTTCTTGCCACAATTGTTAAGTGAATCACTGCAGTTGTTAAATTAGCAATGCGAATCTGGCTTCTCCATGCTTATCGGAAGGTCACAAAAGGTGACCACATTACCCCTGGGACACTGCAACCATCATAAATGCTACGCATCTGAATTTTGATCACATGACTATGGGAATGCTGCAATAGTTGTGAAAAAACAGTCATAAATCCCTTTTTTTCAATACCGTTGTAGCTTTGAATGGTCACTAAATCAACTGTTGTAAGTCAAGGACTACCTGAATACCCTTTGTGCAGTTAAAATCGACAAGGTTCTCTGGGTAGACAGTGTAGCTTTGCAGTATCCAAAACTAAGATTTATTCTGAAGTTTTACCCCACCTCCCCTTTCTAATCTGAGGATAGTTTGATTATTTCTATAGAGATCCAAAAATCAACCACCTTTGCATAACTGATTTAATTTATTGTTTCCCTCCCTCAAGAGTTTTTGCCTAACAGTCGATACCACAATTCTGCTTGGCTCCTTTTTAAGATTTCAACAGCTAACAGCACTGCTTCTTGGCCTGTGCTGTTAATAACTTCAGTCAGTTGTTGCTACCCAAAAAATGATATGATAGCAATCGTATAATAAAGCGTATGCCACATCATGAACAGCTTTGCCAGATAATTATCCATAGATCAGTGTTTAATATTCAGAAACAGGTCTGGCTGGTTTTCCTGTTCATAATCATTTGGGAAACCTTCCCAAAATTGCCCACACATTGGATTCAGTCCTTCAGATATCTGAAGGTTGTTCCTTCTGAAATTACCACATGATACTTCAATCCAACATGGAGACACAACCCACAATTCCTTGGCTTTCCTCAAACATCTTCTCTAACCACTAAGATCTACTCTCTCCTTTGGACTGGCCGTCCACCCCAACATTAACAGGTCTGCGCCATTACTTTTGCTTCCCATTCCATGCCAGCCAAAGCGATTCCAAGGAGGACGGTTACAGTAATCACGCCCACGATGCGGATATCATTCGTTGGATCAGTCATCACGGCATCAAACTCCTGTGGAAAGAAAGAAGGGGTGAACATTTCCTTCTCATTAGCTTCGTCCTCTAAGATTCCTTCCCATCAGATTCCTCCTTTAACAGCCTTCCAGATTCATTGCTGCTGCTATCCACAGATGGATAGATTGATCTTATTAGCCCAACAATGCTGTATATTCTTAAATGGTGGGAAGAAGCAGAGGGGGAAGGGAAGGAGGGAGGGAGGGAGGAAGAGGGGAGGGAGGGAGGAAGGAAAGGGAAGGAAGAGAGGGAGAGGGAAGGAAGGGAAAGAAGAAAGAAAGTGAGGGAAGGGAAGAAAGGAAGAAAGGAACTGAAGGAAGAAAGGAAAGGAAGAGAAGGAGGGAGGAGATGTAGTGGTAGAGATAGAGGTTGAGGGAGGGAGGGAGGAAATTAAGGAAGAAAGGAAATAAAGGAAAGGAAGAGAGAGAAGAAAGGGAGGGAGAAGGGGAGGGGGAGGGTGAAGAGGAGAGGAAAGGAGAGGAGAGGAGATGAAAGGAAAAAGGAATAAGCAAATCTGCTTTAGATAGTAGAAGTATGAGATCTGTAAATTAGAAAGTAAAAATGGCTTTATCGGGAGCTCCAAGTAATCACCCCATAATTTGCAGAGATAACTTACTATTCAGCAAAGTGCTAGAACAGTATTTCTTAATCTTACCAACTTTAATATATTTGGACTTCAACTTCCAGAATTCCCCAGCCAGCATGCATCCATTGTTACAGCATGCTTCCCATGCTGCTGAGGGATTCTGGGAGTTGAAATCCATATATCTTAAAGAGGGCAAGGTTGGGAAGCCCTGAGATAGATAAACAGAGAAAAGACAAGCATTGTTTTTTTAACACATACCACCAGCAGGTCCTTCACTGTTTCGGAGAAACCCACCACGTGCATAGCTACAGCCACAGCATTGGCAAAGGAGAAGAGAAGACCAATGGATCCACCAAGTTCTGGGCCCAAACTGCGAGAGATCAAGAAGTAGGTTCCCCCTATACCCAACATAAGCAAAATAAAGTCAGTTTTATTTTCCCCATCACCAGATCAGCCCTACTAGTGGAAAACAAATCACTTATTTTAAAAGTAATTTAAAATCAGAAGTAGAAGGTTTTGCGCACTGGAGAAACTTTAATGCAAGTAATGTTTATTGTTGAACATTAACAAGGCTAAAATATATGAAGAATGGTTGCAGGAATTGGTTACATCTACTCTAGTGGAAAGAAGGATGGGGATGACATTATAGCAGTATACTAATAGTCGAACTATTTTCCAAAGCACCTGGAGGCAAGAAGCAACAGATGGAAACTAATCAAGGAGAGAACCAACTTAGGCATCTTCCTCCAGCAAAATTGGCCAAAATATATCAAAATATAACACCCATCTGTTGGAAATGTACTCAAGAATACAGATCATATTATCATGTATGGTGGAAATGTAGAAAAACCCAAGAGCTTTGGCATAGAATTCTGGCATAGGTGGCTTGAGATGACAGGGCAAAAAGTGGAATATAAACTGGGATTTTTCTTACTTGGAATTATAACAGAAAAATACAAACAAGAGATGATCTACTTAATAATACATGTGATCACCACGGCAAGGTTAGATTTTGCTCAAAAGTGGAATGATAAATAAATTCCCAATGAAGATGAAGTATTAAAAAAGATTTGGACTTGCACTGAGATGGATAAATTAACTTTGGAAATAAAAGACAAAGACGAAACAAAATACTATAAAGTATGGGATAAATTCTACCAATGCTGGAAAAAAGGAAGGGTCTGGAACTAAAAGATAGGAGGACTGGCAGAACAGATGAATAGAAACAGAAAATATTGTATAAATGTATATAAAACATGTACCTTATGCCATAATATGTCTGACAAACAGGATTGTCGGGATGATCACACCACGTCCAATGTTTTTAACAATTTATTCAATAAATTTTTTGTTTAAAAAAAAGAGAGAGAATAACCTGGAACTAAGGAGAAACCTCCTAAGAACAATGTGAGAACAATGAATGAACAATGAATGAACAATGAACAATGTGAGAAAAATGAACCAGCGGGACACCTTGCCTTCAGAAGTTGTGGGAGCTCCATCACTGGAGGCTTTTAAGAAGATATTGGATTGCCATTTGTCTGAAATGGTATAGGGTCTCCTGCTTGAACAGGTGGTATTCTGGGCTTTATTCTTAAATAACATGTTTACTACTTAGGTCCACATTTTATGAGTCTTTGCTTCTTGACTGAACTGTATAATTCAGCAGGGCTTGGATAGCTCTTGGAAGGGACAGTTCCAGAGTCTGGAAGTCAGATTGAGAAGTCTAACAAGCATGTAGGAAGAGCACAAGGCCAAAGCGAGGGAACATGTTCCCAAAGTGAGATTGAGCTACATAGGACAATCTGGCAGACTCTGGGTCGTTTAGAAGAACTAAGCAGGATTGGATATGGTTAATACATGGGCGGTAAAATTGATCTACCCTAGGGCCATAATCTAGACTGATAAATCTGTTTCACCAGGAAGTTGAGGGGGAACATTACAGAAGAAGACATTGCCCAACCCCTCCCCATAACTACACATGTATCTGCCTATGAAATCACCATGAAATCAAGCAGGACTTAAAAGAGATATCAGCTAACTTGTCACTGATGCTGCCCAGGGAAAGTGAAGCAAATCAATGCTATGGGGTTGAGAAAAAGATTGCATGGAAGAAAATGGGGATGAGGAACCAGAATTGGACCTTAAATAGTAATGAGACAGAACACAGAATAGTCTTGTAGTCCAACCCTTGCAGAAAACCCTATTCCAATTCTGGACAAATGTCTATCCAATGTCTCCTTAAATATCTCCAGTGATAGAGCACCAATGACTTCTGAAGAGAAGTTGTTCCTCTGATTAATTGTTCTCAGTGTCGGGAAATTTCTGCTTAGTTCTAGGTTGGATTTCTTCTTGGTAAGTTTCCATCCATCATTTCTTGCCCGGCATGAAGAAGCACCCATGGTGCTGACTCTATGCCTCTTTCCATCATAGTTCCTGGACTTTTCAAATATTCTACATACCACTATCTTTAGCCATCTTCCTTCCAAATGTAAAGAAATATCACCCCACCAGTGGTGGTATTCAAATTTTTTTACTACCGGTTTTGTGGGCATGGCTTGGTGAGTGTGGTGTGGTTTGGTAGGTGTGGCATGGCTTGGTGGGCATGGCTTGGTGGGCATGGCTTGGTGGGCATGGCAGGGGAAGGATACTGTAAAATCCCACTTCCACCCCACTCCAGGGAAAAGATACTGTAAAATCCCCATTCCCTCTCCACCCCGCTAATCTGCTTTCCAGCTCCATTCTCCTATCCAGGACAACAAAAGAAGACCCAGCAGATCAGCTGGCACTCCGATCAGCTGAAGAGACAATGAATAGATGGTGGCAGGGCCAACCAGAGGCGGTATTTACCAGTTCTCCGAATTACTCAAAATTTCTGCTACCGGTTCTCAAGAACCTGTCAGAACTGGCTGAATACCACCTCTGCACTCAGCCACCCTTCCCCCTCAACCTTGATAGTTCCTTTATCTGGTGTCTATTCTAGTTGGACCAGTTGGACCCCACAGCTTAACTTGATCTGGATTCCTTGGAATGTCCCACTCTAGAGCAATTGCATCCCCAGGTGAAGCAGGTCAAATAGGATTGAGAGGTGCAAGGACCGGGCAAGGAAATATTCTCTAGAATTAGAAGTCTCTAGTCCAGTGGTTTCTAAATGTGGCAACTTTTAGACTTGTGGACTTCAAATCCCAGAATTCCTCAGCCAGCTGGGCAACTACTGTACGGCAATTTTAGGACCCTGGCAGACTTGGGAATTCTGGGAGTTGAAGTTCACAGGTCCTAAAGTAGCCTTAATTGTCCATCCTTGCATTAAACATGCCAGCTGTGCTGAAGATGAAGAGTTTAAGTACCTTATAATAAGCTCTCACTCTTTTTTAAAAAATGTCTGCATGTTACTTTTTTTTAACCAGCTCCCCTGAACTCTATTCAGGGCCCCTTGAATTGGCTTCTTGGACTCTGACCAGGTTTGTACTTTGACTTTGTCTCTTTCTATGCCTCCTGACCTGGAACTCTTGATCACTTGGTATACTGCTTATAGGACGACTTTACCTGAACTGCAGAAACCTGAATGGCCATTAGAGGGCAGCAAAGAGATAGACAGAGTATCCTAGGCCAGTAACTGAGCCAGAAAAGAGTTGTAAGATTGTAGTCCCAAAAGATGGTTTACCTGCTTTGACTTTGCCGTTGGTGGAAATTGCAGAGATGGAGAGACCAGTAATACTGGTCACCACAGAGGACATGAGAATGATCAACCAGGTTAACCCTGAAGAAACAAGGAACATAGTTTGGCACTCCAGAAGCATGGCTCTCTAACATCCATGGCCTAATGTATGTATTTAACAAACAGGTGAGTATTGTGGGGTTTTTTTTTTTTTGGCAGTACAGGTAATGCTAATTTATTGACTGTCCTGTTTAGCCATCATTTAAAGCTATGATGGTGTTGAAAAAGTAATGTTATGATCAGTCCTCATATTTATGACCGTTGCAATATTCCTGTGATTGCCATTTTTGAGTTTCACAATTCTGGCATGCAGTTTCAGAGAAGTCAGCAGTACATTTGCAATCACATGATGTCTGCTTAACAACCTGCCTGACTAATTTAATAACTTCCGGAGGAAATGAGGTCATAAGTTCATCACTGTCTTTCTTAATGACCGTGTTGCTTAGCAACAGAGTTGCAGGCCGCAGTTGTGGTTCTTAAGCGAGGATTATTAAGCTGTAATTATTCAGCTAAGACTATTATATTATTTCGGCCTTGCTTTCTCTCCGTTTGAATGCAGCTTGATTCGTTTTTTATTACGTTAAACAATTTGTGAAGATGAATAGTCATTTTCTGCAGACAAAATGCATTTGAATGTACAAAATGCAATATTTAAAATATATGTTTTTCCTCCCTGCATGTATAGGTAATCCTTGACTTATGACCACAATTGAGACCAACATTTTTGTCGCTAAGCGAGACAGTTGTTAAGTGAGTTCTGCCTCATTTTACAGCTTTTCTTGCCACAGTTGTTAAGTGATCCACTAAAGCTGTTAAGTTAGTATCACCGTTGCTAAGTGCATCTAACTTCCCATAGACTTTCCTTCTCAGAAGGTCACAAAAAGGGATCGTGTGTCCCCAGAACACTACAACCGTCATAAATATGAATCAGTTGCCAAGTGCTGAAATTTTGATCACCTGAACATAGGACTGCTGTGAAGGTCGTTAAGTAAGAAAAACGGTCATAAGTCACTTTTTTCAATACCATTGTAACTTCAAATGGTCACTAAACAAATGGTTGTAAGTCTAGCAGTATCTGTACATGAGATAAAAGTAGTTACAAACCCATATCAAGATCTGACTATATATGATTTAGGAACCTGTTTTTCAGTAGGGAGAAGGTGAAATCAAGAAAATAGTTGCTCCAAAAGGTGCTTTTTCATGAGGCAACTGGACTTTCTGGTTTTTCTTTGAAGACATTTCGCTTCTCAAACAAGAAGCTTCTTCAACTCTGACTGGAATGTGACTCATTTAGTAATCAGAACTGAAGAAGCTTCTCGGATAAGAAGTGAAAGGTCTTCAAAGAAAAACCAGAAAGTCCAGTTGCCTCATGAAAAAAGCACCTTTGGAACAACCATGACCTGGATGACTGAGAATCTCCATAAAAATAATCCCTCATTAATTCCACAAAGTTTCTTACCTATACCAGCCTGGGCCGTTATCCACGGCAAACGGAGATAAAGGATCACACCCCAAATATTCAACATGCATCGGATCTTCAGAGGAAAAAAAACATGAGTGAAAATCTGGGAGTGTTCACAAAGTCTCATATTATTATTAACTGCATTTTTATCTCACCTTTATTAGTTTTATAAATCACCCAAGACGATGAAGATACACCTAATATGGCTTCCTCCTCTTATTTCCTCACAACAACAACCTGTGAGGTGGGTTGCGCTGACACAGAGAGTGATTGGCTCAAAGTCACCCAGTCAGCTTTCATACCTGAAGCAGGACTGGAACTCCTAGTCTCCTGGTTTCTGAGATGATGCCAAAACCACTAGACAAAACTGGTTCTCATTGGCATGTTTTTTTTTAAACTTAAAATTGTTAAGAAACCAGTAAATTAAGGATCCAACTCAATCGGTGGCATCCCTAGACTTTGTTTCTTCCCAATTATAGTTCCTACGTTCCTACTGATCCCACCCTTCCTGGGTCAAATGAATTCACACATTGCATTGAGAACTTTACCATAACTCCCGTCACCCAGCCAAATCGGACAGGCTCGGCTTCCGGTTCAGGGTCTTCCACGTCCTTTTCTTCCCCATCCTTCGAACTAGATTCTATATTGGGGTCAGCACAATCTGGGCCCCCAGGATATGCCTGCCCTTTCCCCTATTTGAACCAAAAGAGAAAATAAAGAAGAAAAGAAGTTGATATTAGATCCAAAGTGAATCTCCTAAAATTCTACATATTACATTTTATAGTTGCTCTCCTCTCGGGGGCTCTCCAAATACACTTAATTTTGGCTCCATTCTTTTCCTAAAGTGTGACTTTGTTGAAAAAGACGGGTGCTCTTTTTGTGACCCATGGAGACTCAACGCACTGAGTTAAATCATGATTTATTTCAATCATGCAGAACAAAACAACTGAGTTCCTATACTATACAGTGCTGATTTGAGTTGGGGTTTGCTTGTCCGTGATTTAGATTTTTAAAAATCAGTCCAGGCTACATGGCTTATAAAACCATATGGTTTGGCATGTAGGGCAGTGGTGGGATTCAAATTTTTTTACTATAGGTTCTGTGGGCATGGCTTGGCGGGCATGGCTTGGCTTGGTGGGCATGGCATGGGAAGGATACTGCAAAATCTCCATTCCCTCACCACCCCCACTAACCTGCTTTCCAGCTCTGTTCTCCTGTGCAGGGCAACCAAAGAAGACAAAGAGATCAGCTGGGACTCGGGAGGCAGAGAATAGATGGGGGTGGGGCCAGTCAGACGTGGTATTTGCCGGTTGTCTGAACTAATCAAAATTTCCACTACTGGTTCTCCAGAACTGGTCAGAATTTACTGAATACCACCTCTGATGTAGGGAGAAGCTAGCAAATTTTTATTCTGCGTTCCACAATTTATTGCACTGTATAAAAATAATCTGTTTCACACATGATCATAGACCAAAATTGGCAATTTGAAAGACACAATGATTTGCTTTACACTTTGCACAAAGACATGGTTATTCTAATTACGATTTATTAAAGAAAATGCAACTAGCGGGGATCTCATAACAAATGAACCTCTAAAGCATGATTTGTAAACCATGATGTTAAAAATCTGGCAGCTTGCTAAGTGTAAATCAACAAACCACCGTAGGGTTTAAATCAACGGTTGAGTCAATCTGAAATAATAACAGAATAACAGAGTTGGAAGGAACCTTGGAGGTCTTTAAATCCCAACTCCCTGCTCAAGCAAGAGACCGTTCCTGACAAGGGGTTGTCCAGTCTCTTCTTAATTTGGCAATTTTCTTAATAATTTGGCCATTTTAAGCCAGCTTGTAACTTAGTGTTTCATGTGAGCTCAGGCAACTGAAGTTTATTAAACCATGATTCAAGAAACTACTGTTAGGTGTGATATGTATAAAGTCTCTGTAGCTAATGTTATCATGGAAAAGAAGGTCAACTTCTTTTCCCCTGATCATTATGGAAGAGGACCCTCTTACCGGTTCTGCATTCCTCAGCATGTCTAAAGTAGGCCGGATCTTCCGACGTCCAGGAGGTGCTGAGAGGGCATAAAACTCATAACGAGGACAAGCATCAATTGAAGTCTCATAATCGGGGGGTGCTGAAAGAGATCCATTTTCTTCTGCTTGCGTGGAAGAAGGAAGATCTGGTTTAGGAGTGTGGTTGACTTGTTCCGAGGAGGGACCATTTTGTAATTTTCGAACTTTGAAACGTCCAAAAGAAAGGACAGTCTTATAGGATGAGGAATTTTCTTCCATGGCCTTCTTAGAATTGTTTCCACCTGCTAGGAAGAGAAAGAACAAATATTTGTTAATTTTTTTCCTGCAAGGCTGCCTCCTTTGATTATATCCCCAATTTAACAAGCCAGGAGTTAGGAAGACATTCATGATTTGACCCATCCTGGGCCATCTGATTCAAGCCAGTATTTTAACTGCTACACTGTCTCTCTTACTAAGAGCTGAGGCTACAATTTAAGTTTAATCCTTGTTGAACAATTCCAGGACTCAGAAATGTATTCATGTGATAATTCTTCATCCCTAAATTTTAAACCATACAAGAGGGCCCTGAACAAGGTAGAAAATTTATCTTCATAGACATCCTTGTGCACACATAATGTATTTCTTGAGCAAGGGAAAAAGCTCTTGGCAGTAATTATACAGATGCTTCTTATTATAAGTCACCTACCCAATAATTGAACTTCTCTGACACATTAACCATGTATTTTAAAATACTGCAAAGGATTAGAATTTAGAATTAGAAGAATTTATTCCATAATACAAGGCAGATAAAAACATATAAAAGCTATTTTTAAAACACTCTTGTGATTTGGAATTTGGTATCTTGGATAAAGAGTTGTATAAAATTAAAACAAACCCACTGAATATTTACAAGTACATTTGGTTCTGCTAGCCCTCCTGGGAAAGGAAAAGTTATATATGGCTCATATTTTTTTCTGTGTATCTGTTCCTGAAAAACAAAAATGTGTGTTTTTAGATCAAAACTTTCCATTCCAGAACACCCAGTTCAAAATAATTCATGCATGCTGTTAAGTGACACCAAATGATTCAGCTTTCTATATCGTTTTTTCAGGTCTACTTGAACTATATTCATCACAAAGCTCTCTCTACTTTTCTCTTTATTTTTACAGCTGAAAACTACTGCCTCTAAACTCAAGTCTGAACCTCTTGTTTCCATGCAGCCATGAGATACATATCATGTTTTCTAATCCATTAAATAAAGGAAGAGTGGCAAAGGATAATCATCCATAATCAATCAAGCTTTATCTAGGTTATTGACCTGCATAAAATACTATTACAGGATGGTAATTTACCACCATCTCTACAATGTGCAGAAGAAAATGAGCTAAATTTTAGTGTTACTGCCACAACTATAAAACAGCATCACAAATATAAATCATTAAGACAACAGTGCAATATAGTACAGTTTAAAATAATGTGATATAATGTTAATATAAATTATAAAAAAAAACCTATGGAAAAAAAATAGCAAAACATCAGAAATATTAGCCAAAGAGTATACAAACATTGTATTGATAAAATCTCCTGGTAAAAATATAATTAGTATTGATATTAAAACTATATAAGCTATGATGAAATGGCAGTAGCAAATGTTAGTACGCACTTTATAAAAAGCAATAGCGGTAAAAATGGCCATGTTAAACAATTAGAAATAAAATTAATTACACAATAAAGTCAGTACACAATTAAAAGCACGGGCTTCATCTATTTTGGTCTTGATCAAAGTATTTTTCAATTTAGCACATCAGGCTATCAGATTTCCGTCTTGTGAATTTTTCTAGGAAAAAGGAAGGAAGAGGTATACTATCTAAGCTGAACTAATTCATTTACCTCAGATAGGAACTACAGCAGCTCCCTTATAAGACCATATAGAAATATATCAAATCAGAGGTAAATCCCATTGAATTCAATGGATTTTCTTCCAGGAAAAAGAAAAAGCTGAAAGAAAACGTCAACATGCAAAACATTTAAGTCTGCTCCAGTTATGTATTAGTCCATGGAGAATACACCTCATAAGAAAAAGATGAAATTAATTCAATCCGGTTAGCTAAAGAACAAATAAGAGCTTTGTGGCACTTTAAGGATGAATCTGATTTGTTGTGGTATAACTGGCCACAAGACCACAAAAGTTACGCTATAATAAATTAACATTCTTTGGACTAGGCTGCAAGAGTAGTACAATCATTCTCTTATTTAAGACTCAAAACACTCATTTATGGGGGCAATACGTTTTCCTAATAATTAAATATATGTATTAAATATAAAATTAAAACTAATTAACTATATTTATAAAATATATTTTAATATATTTCACATATTAAAATATATTTATTATTAGGATATTTATACCAACCTTGGTTTTTCATTCAGCAGTATTTATTTTTCCTTCCAAAAGATACAGGAATTGCAACAATAATTATTTTCCTTAGGGATGGTCAAAAAACCAAATTAATTATATATACTATGAGTGAGTGAGACACACACAGAGAGAGAGAGACAGTAAAAATCTGTTTTCTCACATTTTTGTATTCGAATATTTCCAAGAACTGCCCTGAAAATAGATGCCTGAAAGGTTTACAATTCTGTTTCCCTCCAGGTGCGAAATTTGGCCTTCACTCCTCAAAGTCAAAATGGAAAGAAGTTCTCCAGCCTAGGATAGATGCTGCACTGGATTGCTTAAAACAGAGGATCAAGAGGTATAAAGGCAGAAAGCACAAGACAGCAGGGAGCAGGTGAAGAACAGCCCAACTGCAAAGACCCAAGAACTAGGAATGAGAGCAGAAAGAAGTCCCAGAAACCAGGAGATGAGATGGAGGCTCAGGTGATTCTGTACCTGCTCCTTCAGCGTCTCCACACCAGTCCTTGATATCTTATCTCTCACCAGCAACAGGTTGACCTGCTATCTCTCCTGACTTATAAAGGCTCCTGATAAACGCAGGCCCAGCTCTTCTAAACTGGACCCAACAGCTCCTGGCTGCCTTGATCCCTCCTATCCATCATCCACACCTCCACCCCTCCCTCTCCAAATAGACAAACTTTCCAAATGCAAGAAGGAAAGATGGGGGGGGGGGGAGGCAGTGTGGGGAAGGTTAGGGGTGGAATTGAAAGAACATCCTCCCCCTTTCTTGCACATAACATAAGAAGTTAAGGGCCCTGTTTGCTCGCCTTATCTCCTGCCCCTGCAGCGTTCTTTCCACTAGCCCATTTGTACAAGGCAATGGAAACTTAGAAAGACAATGGAAGTCTGGAGGACGGCTGGAGCCTCAGGGATCTGTCTGGCTGGGTGTGTGGCTGGCCCGTGTGCGAGGGGTGGGAATCGGGGCAAAAAGCAGCAGGATCCAAGAATTCAGACTTCAGACTGAGTCTTGCAGGCAAGCTTAACCGAATGACAGAGTTGGAAGGGATCTTAGAGGTCTTCTAGTCCAATCCACAACTCAAGCAGGAGATCCTATAACATTTCAGACAAATGGTTGCCCAGTCTCTTTTTTAAAAGCGTCCACTGATGGAGCACCCACAATTTCTGAAGGCAAGCTGTTCCACTGGTTAATTGTCCTCACTGTTAGGAAATTTCTCCTTGGTTCTAGATCCCTCCTCTCCTTAATTAGTTTCCAGACACTGCTTGTCTTCCCTTCTGGTGCTTTGGAAAATAGGTTGATCCCTTCTTCTTCTTTGTGGCAGCCCCCCAATTATTAGAACACTTCTATCGTGTAGCCTCTGGTTCTTTTCACTAGATTAGACATACCCAATTCCTGCAACTATTCTTCGTATGCTTTAGCCTTCAGCCCATAATCATCTTTGTTGCTCTTCTCTGCACTCTTTCTGGAGTCTCAATATCTTTTTTTTTAATATTGTGCTTCAGGTTAAGCCATGCTTCTCAGCCTTGCAAGTCCAGGGACTTTAACTACTCGTTAAGGCATGCGGTAGAGAAAAGAATGAGGCTGGGGCTTTGCTTAATTGATTTATATTTCAGCTTTGGATCCAAAAAGGACAATCTAGATGGTAGAGAAGATCTGAATGAGCTGAAATATTATTAAAAAGAGAGACAGACTGACCCGAAATAAGGCATTCTTTCAAAAAAACCTCACAAATAAATAAATAAAACAGAGCGCACGGTGGAACAGAGACTTTGATGTTAATTCAGGAAACTAAAGTGGATTGCACATCAACATGAACAGACGTGTTTGCCCTGATCTTACAAAAGTGTTTCTCAACTCATTGTACACAAACCACAGCTGGATATAGAGGCAGCTCAGGTGGGACAGTAAATCCTTAAAATCATACCGCTTTCCAAGTCTTCCCAATTGATAAATGTAATAACACAACACTTATAAAAAATGAACATATAGAGCTTGTGTTAAAGGAAACATTTGTTAGGTAAATTTTGCTCCATTTTATGACCTTTCTTGCCACAGAGTTGCTAAATGAATCTCTGCGTTGGATAAGTGAGGAACCCAGTTGTTAATTGAATCTGGCTTCCCCCTTGACTCTGCTTGTGAGAAGGTCACAAAAGGGGGATCCCATGGCTTTGGGACACAGCAACGGTCATAAATATGAACAAGTGGCCGAGCTCCTGAATTTTGATCATGTGATCATGGGGATGCTACAAAGGTGGTGGTTGTGAAAAATAGTCCTAAGTCACACTTTTCAGTGCCATGGTTGAATGGTCACTAAATGAATGCTCCTAAGTTGAGGACTACCTGTAATGTGGAGAGAGAGAAGGTTTACTTTTCACTCACTGCAGAAAGTAAGATGGTGAACTCAAACTTAAAGGCCACACACAACAGGCACTATATAAATACCACACATGGAATAGCCCAAAGCACACAGTCTGCCAGAGAAAAGTTCCCTTAGGGATGGGATTCAGCACAAGTACCAAAAGCCCAGAAGGAAGACAAAACCTCCAGTTCTAGTGACTGACGCAGATTGGATCCGGCAACATTACCCTGGGATATATATATTCGCCTTCATTCGTGAAACTTGGAAGCAAGAAGGTCCGTGGCAAAACTTTTTTTACCTGCTCCATTGTAAAAACTCTGGATTTTTCTGCTAGCATTTGTGATAACCAGAGGCCTGTTTTTTTTAAAACCGAGCAAACAAGTTCTTGAAGATTTAGGCTGTTTCTTAACTCCCAACAACTTTTTCTCAAAAGGCAACTGGACTGAATGTTTTTTTTAAAGAGAACAGTCCAGTTGGCTTTGAAAAAAAGTGCAATTTTGAGGCAACTATG